CATTTTTTCTTAACTATAATCACTGTGCTATGCATAGATCTCTTGAACTTATTGTATGTGGTCTTTAAGAGGCATTGTTTTAAAGTACCTTTTGTGGGAAAATCTTATAAACAGTTGGCCTATAATTTATTGTGTAACCAGGACACCCTGGGAGTAAAAGATGGTTTTATTATTAAGAATGCTTGGACAACAGGTGCAAACGAGGACTGTACCAAGCAAGTCAGGTGTTTAACCATTTTATATTTAGAACAGGGATCTGGGTATTATATAATTATATAATATATATTATATAAATGTATATATATATATATATATATATATATATATATATATACATCTCTCCTAGAACAAGATTGTTTCTGCAATTAGAAATTATAATTTCAAATTGGAATTTTAAATCTAGATGAACAGTGAGATTCATATTGTTTCTATTTCCATACTCTGTAAGCTTGGTCACTGTTAAGTACATTCTTGAAAGTAAAGCAATGTTACTTGGAGTTCAAAAGAAAAAAAGCCATTAACAAAGGGAAATGGACTGGATTGAGTGTCATAAAACAGTTCTATTTTTTTTTAGAAGCTTGTAAGCCAGAGGTTGGCAAGCTTTTCTAATGAAGCTATGTATTAGATACTTTGGTTTTGTGAAAGTAGCCCTAGATGACAGACATGAAAAGAAATGTGCATAACAGTGTTCTTCAATAAACTTTTTGATCCAAATCTGGCAGGGGTGGGGTGGGGGCAGATTTGGTAAATGGGCTATAACTTGCCTACTTGTATTCTAGTTATATGGTGTGTGTGTGTGTGTGTGTTGGTACTGGGTCTTGAACTCAGGGTAAATTTTTGCTTATGTGGTGCTGAGGAATCGAACCCAGGGCCTCATGCATGCAAGGCAAGCGCTCTACCACTGAGCCACCTTCCCAGCCCCATCAGGGTCTTATAATGTCACTTAGCTTTTGTGGTATTCTAGCACTTGAGCCACTCCTTTACTTTCCAGCTTTTGCCTGGTTAATTTGCCTGGTTAATAAGTCTTTCAGATTTGTCTACTTGTGCTGGCTTTGAATATGGATCCTCAGATCTCAGCCTCCTTAGTTGTTAGGATTACAGGTGTGAGCCACCAGAGCCTGGCTTTCATGATCTGTTCTAATATGTAGAAACCTTGCTCTGAGAGAGGATAAGTTATTCTGGGTATTAATCATGCTGTCCCTTGTCTGTTGTGACAGATTGGGGCTATATCTAAAGGAAGCAATAGAGCAATACAATGAGCCTTACTATTTAGCCTAGTTTTCCTTATACCCATTCCAGTGCTTTAAGGCCAGTTCTGAAGTGGGTGGTGGAGAGGGACAACCAGGGGTGTTGTGCATAGTGAAGAGCAGTTATGTAGATGTGACCAGGCATTTTAGAAGGAAGGCTGTACAAATGGTCAGCTAGGGAATAGACGCTAGAGTGGTTTTTTTTTTCCCCTGTAAATCTTAGTTTTTATGTTGTGGATCAGATTCTACCTAGAGAGAGTGCAAACTGCAAACACAAGAAAAAAAAGAAGCCTTGGTCTATGAGCATCTGTGGAAGAAATGGACTCAGAATTAAAGTGAATGACATGAAGAGTTGCTTTATGCTAGTTTGAGGCTTATCATGTTGAGTTGGAACTGGTTGGTTAAAAAATAAAAGTTTTCGGAGAAAATCCCCAAATATTCCAAAATGCTTCCCTTAGACTTAGGAAATAGCAGGAGCTGTGCCATGCATATATAGCTCCTGTGACTATGTCTACAGCCCTACTGCTACAGTGTGTGGACAGATGTCCACATACCTAGTGCTACATGATCACCTACTGCTGTAATTGCTGTCAGGACTGGAGGACAATTATAATCATGGTAGGGATTTAGTTTTAAGTAGACAGGGTATACATAGGTATTTTAGAGAGGGATGGGAAGGAATATAAATAAGGGAAAGATCAGAGGTGTTCAGTCCTCTTTGTGATGTTCAGTTAAAGGTGAGTAGTGGATGATTTTCATTTAGATAACATATCTGTTATCATATGTTAACTTTTAGCTAACATATCTGTTAGAGTAGATTCTTCAAAGCAATTGGTATGTTAACTATATAGTTACTAAGAGGCTAGGAATGATAAAGGGATCATTTGGCATCTTGTAGCTTATTTATGATGTGTTTTATGCATTTGGAAAATGTGGAGACCACATATAAAGTAAAATACAATGAAGGTAAATGAATGTCCCCTTCATGTATGTTATACAAAGGGACAAGAAAGAATGCGTTTTCCACAATAGAATGATGAAAAGAATGGAAGGGGACACATGGATGGGTGATGAACACTGTCCCTCAGTGATCAAGACTCAAGACCACAAGTGGGGAGGAATGGAATGGAGGGCTGGTAAAGGAAGCTGGGCAGAACTGAGCTCTCAGAAATCGGCTCAGCAGGAGGGTGACAGGATGGCAGGTACTCATAGGTGATCTTTTATATAGTGACTGCTGTGTCAATGAAATATTTCTTGCAAACAATTTCTCTTTAAATATATATATTTATAGTTATTTCAGATTAAGAAATAAAAGAAGGCTGGGAAGGAAATGTGGTATATATACACAATGGAATTCTATGCCTCCATCAGAAAGAATGACATTGCCCCATTTGTTAGGAAATGGAAAGGCTTGGAAAAAATTATATTAAGTGAAGTAAGCCAAGCCCAAAGAAACATAGGTCCCATGGTTTCCCTTATTTACAATATCTAGTATATGTATGAGTCAAGCAGAAAAGGTCAGATAATGTGATGTTAGGAAAATGAACCCTTAGATATGTATTTAAAGGTATTTTTCTTTCATGCATTTGTTTCTAACGCATTTATAAGATTATTTCTTTGTTGCTTTGTATGTCCCTCCCCCACAGTATAACCCCTGCTTTCACTATATTTGATGTTGGTATAATTTGTAGAGGAGAGGGGGAAAAACAAGTCGTTTAAGGATACAGGTGGACCTGTTGCAACAATGAGAAGTACAAGTTGTCATGTCAAAAACGAACTTTACAACTTTGGTTCGGCGGGGGGAGGGGGAGAGGGGGAGGGGAAGGCTGGGAAGGGATGTGAAGGGTAAACAAAGGAGGAGGCTGCAATGCTTGATAAGAAATGTACTCATTATCTTGCCCATGTAATTGTAACCCCTCTGTACAGTATGTTCACAAAAAATAAAAAAATAAATTAAAAAAAAAATAAAAGAGCAATTATCATTAAAAGAAAACCACCTACAGGCATTTTTACATCCAGATGCTTGTGATGAAGACAATTAAACATTCCCTAGTCACACCTGCAAAGATCATTATGTAGAACCTTGAGATAATAAAGATATGGCTTATGTTAGAAACCATGAAATAACATCTTTTTCCACTATTGAGAGACTTTTGATTGTTTTGTTCTTCTGATTTTCAGAAAGTGATATCATTGGAAAGTTCTGGCCTATAGGAAATAGTGAATTGGACACATTTGTTCATCTTTTCCCTGCTTGATAGACTGCCTGGGACCTAAAAATTCATGCAGTTAAGACAATCAAAGGTGTGACTTCCATTAAGAAGTTAAAAACAACCTATTTGGGGTCCTAGAGAGAGGTGAGGTATAAGGGGCTCCCTCAGGATGTGCCTAATGTCTAATGGCTCAGTTCTGAATTCTAAAAAGTATCTCAGGGAGTGTAAGAGGAGTAATTTGTCTGTTGCACAGAAAGAGTTATTCCAAGTCCCTGTATCTCTGAAAAAGCTTTAAAAAAGAAAAAAAAACCAGACATGCACATTGGTAGGAGAAGAAAAATGATCCAAGAAAAATACAAACATGTCCATCTGCCATTGACCTTTGAAGGACCTAAAGATCACCAATAGCAAGTTCTAATTTCTCCTAGTAATTTCCAGAGGTCGAGGTAAATCAAATTACCCCTTGAGCTGAGCTTGTTTATGTCAAAGGAAAATAATACTATGTGGATGCAGTCCAGCACTTTGAAATTGATAGATGGGGTATGATAGGAGAATCAAACACTGAAAACCTTGCAGCGAATTGTGAAATGTATCCATTTGCTCCCTCCCTGCCTACCACAAGTTCAAGGTGAAAGATGGTAAGGAGAGAAGATACGAAATTGGAAGACAGGACTGGTCATTGGCTTGGGTTTCCAAAGGAACTTAAGATTGAAAAAAGAAGATGAATACAAGTGTGAGCGAAATTTCAAATGAGTAGTAATGGAAGGGGAAGGGAAAAGCAGTGTGTTTGTTTAGAAGTAATACAAGGAGAAAGCGGCAGGTGCAGAAGCATTTCATCAGGATGTCAAGAATATACCTTAAGGTCTTGGGTTATGTTAGAACCAAGAAAAATAAGGGGAAAATTCAACGTAGTTAGCTGCTTGTCTTCACTGTCTTGGTATAGTGGAAGTCAGTTGCCATGGCTAATAAATGATTCCTAGCCCTATTGACTGAGTGTTGGTGACTCTTTTCACCAATTGTGGGTTTGAGTTCCACCGGCTCCAGGAAGTTGGGATACTTCAGGTTAGACAAGAGGGAATAAGACAGTGGGGGTATAGAAATGGCAGACTGTGGCCCTGAGTTCAAGCACCACGACCAACCAAAAAAAATAAAGAAGAAAAAAAGAAATGGTAACCGTAAATAACATCTCTAGTAAAGTTCTAACAATAAAATAGGGCTGCATGTAGAGACGAGATGCTGGAAAGTGAAAAGATGACCTTCCTTGTATACATCTTTTGCAATTTTGAATCTATGGGCTCACATTTGACCTCCCGGCAGCTTGGAGAGGTAAGGCCTAGCTTGTCTCTGGCATTACTTTACCAGGATGGAAATCAAAAGACAAAGGTTTCGCTTCCAGTTGTGGGGACAGACATGGAGGATGGAAGGCAGACCTCAGGAGGTTTTGAGTTGAAAGGGGAAATAAGAATTTTTCTTTTTTCCATTTTTGAATATTACAAAAAGAGAAACATTTGTTCCTTCCTAGATCCACTTGATTACTCACTGTTAAGCAGGCGGAAGTCAATGAATGGGTAGGAGCCACGGCGTTCGGCAGGAACCCCAGTCTGACCCCTTAGTCGTACATCTCCTAGAAAACAGAAAATCCAAACAAATGTTTGACGACATTGGCCAGTGGACTCACTTTGCCTCTGTAAATCCTCTTTATAACACAGAACCCACACCAGGTGTGGCTTGAAAAATAACTCCCTTTCACCTCTTAGAGAGAGATAGATAGGAAGGGATGTTTAATTAATGCTGAGGGCAATACACTTGGCAAGTCTCCAGCAAATGAATGATTGCTCTCTTGTATTCATCTGTGAAAGTGACAGCAATCGATGGAGTTTTCAGTCTTTTAAAAAATACGTCCCAGGGCCTTATGATGAAGTCCCTAGGCCTAGAAGATCAACTGGCTTGCTGGGATTGTAGCTTTTGTTCTTCCCTTGCTTCTAGCTTCCAGCACAATGTGTTTCGGACTGGCTTGTCCCTTTCCTTCCCCGTAGGCTGTGTTATTGCTGTGCAATGGAATCTGCTCTGAGGTCAGCTTAGCTCCTCCTACCTCAGACCCTCAGCCACCTTTGGACCTATTGTAGTCTGTAGACTTTCCGGTGCTCATTTCTTTGCAGGTTTCCTTGAATGGCAGAGTTCATTTTACTTTTTCATGTGTATATGCTGTCTTCCCAATTAAAATAGGTAACAAGGAAGAGTGGAAAAGATGGTAGCCTTTAAAATAAGACAGCTTTGGAGATATCAGGCTTGAACATCTTTTTTTTTTTTTTTTTTTTGTCAGCTGTGGGGCTTGAACTCAGGGCCTGGGTGCTGTCTTTGAGCTCTTTTGCTTAAGGCTAGCTCTCTGAGCCACAGCACCATTTCCAGTTTTCTGGTGATTAGCTGGAGATAAGAGTCTCACAGACTTTTCTTCCTGGGCTGGTTTTGAAGCTCCATCCTCAGATTTCAGCCTCCTGAGTAGCTAAGATTATAGGTGTGAATCACCAGGGCCTAGCTACCCGGTGATCTTGAGATCTAACTTCTTTGCATCTCAGCTGCCTCATTGTAAATTGCATGTCTTAAAGTGCCATTGTCCAGAATATGGAAAATAACCCTGGTTGCCTGGAAGTAAGTACTGGTTCACATCTTTCTGAACTGTCAAGCAGGGATTATGCACACCAGGTGACTTGCATTTCTCTATCATGCTTTGTGTGTTGTCTGGTTCATGATAGACTCTAAGGGCTTGTTCTCTGTTGACAAACAGTAGAAGACCAGAGCCATCAGTCATTGCATATCCTAGCAATTGTATGGGTAAGAGGTAGCAATGCTGAGTCAGAGAGGGCTTCCATTCCAGGAGTGTCAATGAAAGAATCAGCAAAATCTACCCATAAACCACTTTCCCTCAGACCTACAGTAGCATGGGACCTCAATTTAGGAGGAGAAAAGAGGGACAGTGTTCTTGTTTACTTTCCTAATCCTTGATGTTAGTAGGCCCAGGTGAGATCTCATCCATTGTGACCCACACTCAAAATGCCCCGCCCACAGGGTCTCTAGGGTTCTTGAAATTCTACAGTACAAGTAGAGCTGCTAGCTCTTGAGCTATTCTCTACTTTGAATTTTATGTTGGTGCCTTATTTCTTATGCTTGAGGTTATTTGCTGTTTTTATTCTGGTATTGATATTAAAGGATGTTACAATTTGTGAAATAAAAGGAGATAAGTGGATAAAAAAGATATTAAGCAAAATGAGAGGAGGAAGGAAGAGATGGAAAAATACACTTGAAAATCTGAAAGGCTAGGCATGGTTGTACACATCTGTAATTCCAGCTATTCAGGATGTGGAAATAGGAAGATTAGTGTGTGGTCTCCTTGGACAAAAGGCAGCAAAATTGTCTCGAAACACAAGCCAAGCAGTGGCGGAACACACCTGTTATCCCACCTACTCATGAGCCAGAGATAGGAGGGTGGTGGTCCAAGGCTAACCCAGGCAGAAATATGAGACTATATTGGAAAAACAAAACTGGAAGCAAAAAACTGGACTGGGGGCATGGCTCAAGTGATAGAATGCTTGCCAAGCAAGCACAAGGCCTTGAATTTAATCTCCATATACATACAAACAGTATATATATTAATGCTGTTAGCTTTTGATAAGCTCATGAGTTGGGTGGTCAATAGTAGAAGCAAAGTGCCAGGAAGACTTGAGGACTATCTTCCTCAGAGTCCCCTTGAACACAATATGTTTATAATGCTCTAGAGTTTACAAAGCACTTTCAAAAGCATCACAGTGAGTTTATTGTCTATTTTTTCCCCATTGGATGATCACAGTCTGGCGAGGAGAGCTACTTTTACCCTTCTTATTTTATAAGTGAGAAAACAGCAGCTTAGGGAAGAATAGCTGAAAAGACTCCTACTTACCCTTTAACCCCAGTCTGCTAAAAGGCACTTAGCAAAAATCTGTTGACTTTCTTTGAGTTTCCTGAACTGAGAGTTTATAGTTCAAGTTTATAGTGAGTAGGACGCGTGTTAACTCTAGATGCTTAGATTGCACAAGCAGAGAGCTCTCTCAATATTACCCATGTCTTGTCCTTCTAAAAACATTTTTATTAGCATATATTAAATGTACAGGTGAGTTTCAGTGTGGCTTTTCCACATAGGTATACAATGTACCCAGATCAAACTCACCTCTCCGTCACTCTCCCTTATCTAACCCTACTTCTTAAAATAATTTCCATGGACTTCATTGTTTTATTTTTGCATATGAATATAAAGTACTTCTACCATATTTGCCCTCTTTCACCTACCTACTCCTAAACAGGGCCTGTTTTACATTCCCGTCATTTCTTTTTCTTTTTTTACATGTATGTTAATTGTTCAAAGTAGTTTCTCCATGGTATTTTACACATACACATAGCTCCATCTTTCTCCTTCCCCATCCCTCACTCTCCCTATTTTCAACATCTTTCACTGAGTTTCTTGCAGGCATGGATGCAATGTATTTCAATATTATTCATCTCCTATCATTCAGTTTTCTTCTCCTAGTTCCATTATTTCATGTATGTTCTTTATTTATAGGTATATATGATCATATACACATGCAAACACACAAACACATGTTTTTCACTTAGATCAGCTTCCATATGATTGAAAATGCTTGATATTTGTCCTGATAAACCTGGTTAACTTTGCTTAATATAATCTCATCATTTAGTTGCAAATGATTCAATTCATTCTTCTTTATAGCTAAATAATACTCCATTGCATGTAACTACCACATTTTATTAATCTATTCATCATTTGTAGGCTGGTTTCATACTTTGGCCATTGTGAGTAGTGCTGCAGTGTAAATGTCTCTATTGTACCATATTTTACATTCTTGTAGATAAATGCACAAGAGTAGTATTGGTGGAATGTATGATAGTTCCATTTTTAGCTCCATACTGCCTGTTGAAGTTGCATTAGGTAACAGCCTCTTTTTCCTCTGAATACTTGCCAGCTTTTGTTGTGCACTTGATAATGGCCATTTGCCATTTCTAATCTTATGGAGTGTGCAGACTTGTCTCTCACAATGAAACAAACCAACAACAAAATGAAATCTTAGGACCCGTCCAGGCCCAATGTGTGATAGAACTTGCACTTTTAATATCCATTGAGAAAATATAGCATGTTAAAATAACAACAAATTCAGTGTTGACAACAAATGAATTTATGTTTTATGGTAGAGCTCAGGTAGACATAAAGATTTAAAAGCCACGTATATTTGAGAATGTGGGCATTTGGTCTACAAAGGTGTCTTGGCTAGTGGATTTGTTGACTTGCTACTAAAATTCTTTGTGTTTTTTTCCGGAGTGTTCAAGGCTTACCATCTGGAATTTCTGTTTTTAATTTTTAATTTTTTTGGGGGGGTCTGGTCGTGGGGCCTGAACTCTGGGCCTGGGCACTGTCCCTCAGCTCTTCAGCTCAAGGCTAGTGCTCTACCACTTGAGCCACAGCGCCACTTCCGGCTTTTTTCTTTTTGCTTATGTGGTGCTGAGGAATCGAACCCAGAGCCTCAGGCATGCAAGGCAAGTGCTCTACTACTGAGCCACATTCCCAGCCCCTGGAATTTCTTTATCTATTAGTATTTCTCTGCCAGCATTGCCAAAGATTTGCACTTGACTCTATCATTATGAGGGCACCATTTCCCCACCCCCTGAAAATGTCTGTGTGACATTGATGTGGGTTTTGAATCCTATCACAGGAGGACTTGTCTACCTGAGAGTGTGAAGGACCATGATCATATAAGCCAAGTAGAGAGATCGCACTACATATGGGAAAGGGAAAAAAGGGAAGGCAACACCATAGAAACTGGGGGACTCCTACACTGACAGGGGCAGCCTTTTGCCATGTTGATTAACTATGGACTAACCACTTTGAAAACTAGTTTTCTAGTATTTAACTTACATAACTATATTTAACTTATATAACTTATAGGGCTGTTGCAAGGAAATTTTAATTTGTGTGAAACTAACATGATTAAATATTTACTGAATACTTACCTTGTGCTAAACACTCCACATGCATTATAATATATCATTAATTCATAACCCAAAGTAGGTATTTTATTATCATCATCACCACCACCACCACCACCACCACCATCATCATCATCATCATCATACCTTCTTTCCTAGACTATCAGCATTAAAAATTTCATAAAACACTTTTTTTTAAAAAAAACCTGAGACCAGAATTTGGTATCTGATGAATTTGCTCATTGGCTCATGTTTTACCACTCGAGCCATGCCTCCAACTCCTGTGTAAACACCTGTATAAGCATTACATTTTCCTTAATGAAATAGATCTTCTGATTGCTATTTTCCAATCAATCAACTACACAACCCTTGTAATTCCTGAACTCTGAATACAAGAAGAATCTATTGCCCTGACAAATTTAAGCTTTTGTCAAATAAATGTTACATATGCAAAGAGCACTTGAATTGAAATAGGCTGTGTGAATAAGATAATTAAATTCTATTCTGGATCAGCAGGGTATCTATTACTTTCAAACCAGAAATAGAAGGTAATCATTAGAAATACTATTCATTAGGATGGAAATTTGTTGATAA